GGCCTGGCAGCTGCTTGCAGTGCGGGGTGGTGGCGCAGCGGGCTCTGCGGCCTCCCCGGAGGCCCCGGGGGGAGTCGGGGGGATGTGTGTATGTGCGCCGGGGCAGGGCCGCGGCATCATCTCCGATCGGCGCGGTGGCTCGGGGAGGGCCTCGAACGCTACAGCGTTAATTTTCACTCTCCCCTGTCGCCTCTTTTCCCGTAGGGGAAGCGTTAAAGCGAGCCGGTGGTTTGGGGTCGCGCAGTCTAAATCGGCCAAGACGAACGTGAATATTCTTCACCAAGAGGAGTTGATAGCGCAGAAAAAGAGAGAAATTGAGGCCAGACTGGAGCAGCAAGCGAGACAGAATTACCTGAGCATACAACAGCTACCTCTCTTTGGAGAGTACGTGTGAATTACGGTGCTTTTAGATGGGAGATTTGCTGGCAGAAAACGGGCATGTTTGTCAAATGAAACCGAAGAGACAGAGCTCTTGTACTTGAAGGCACATACTGAGGAGGTTGAAATTGATAAATTGAGTAAAGGTTGGAATAGGATACTTTCACTTAATTAATGGCCAGACTTCTCAGATACTGGTGAGAACAGAAATGTGCTAAGAGCAATCGTATATTTTTAACAGGGTATTATTATACTTTCCTTCTGCTTCCTATTTGTTGCCTTTTTGAAAAAATCCTGTTTCAATGGAGTAGTAAGCAAGCCAGGTGGAGAGCATGGGTAAATGCTGTGAGCAGCAAGCTGAAGGGTTCTCGTGCTTTTGAAAAGCTAGGTGTGTTTTCAACATTAGATGAGAGAGATTAGATGTCATTAGCATTTGTCTTGTTTTCTGTTCAAAATAAATGCGTGTGAGGGGGCTGGGGAGAATGATGAGTACCATCACCTACTTCTCTTTCTCTATTCAGAGATGACGGTACTGAAAATGAAGCCTGTGTTTCCAACAAGTTTGTTAATGATGGCAGTTTCCTCCAGCAGTTTCTCAAGCTGCAGAAGGAAAAGTCAAGTACTGGTAGGTCGACTTCTGAGCAACAGGAGGCCTTCCTTCCCCTGGTGATACCAGCTTTGTGTGAGCTGCCTCCATGTATGTTCACTTTAGAAACCCTGCTATGAGCTGTTACCAGTACGAGTAAGTTCTAAAGCAATGATGACCCCTTTAAATTTGGATTAAAGTCTTTCTTCAAGATGCCGTAGGGAGGTTTGCCCTCTCTCCCTCTATAGGTGCTGTAAAGACAAGCATCTTTCTTCTAGCTTAATTCTCACTTTGTAAAAATCATCACAGCTTTCATTTCATTATACAGCTTTAACCACTCAGCATCTTTAACTTACTCTGAAAATAACGGCCTGTTGCAGCTGTATTACTGCCCTGAGTTGTTATTTGTAACCTTCTGAGATGAAAACAGTAAGGATGCACAGGAATTATTTTCCCCTCGTTCTTTTCTAAGAAACTCCCCCAAGTTCTACTAATAACTCGGCAAACACTTCTGCATCACATGTTGGGAAGAAACCTATGCTGTTTGGGAAGCGCCCCGGTCAGGTCCTGAGCAGCATGCTGCACCAAGCGAAGAACTACTCCCATTCCAAACAGACCCCAGTCGTTAACCGCCTCAGTGTGTTTCAGTCGCCAGACGAAGATGAGGAGGAAGATTATGAGCAGTGGTTGGAAATTAAAGGTAAATGACACTTTGTCCTACTTTCTTTGTTTTGGGGTGCAGGTCCACTTACGCTAGTGATAGGAGTTGAGTGTGGGAACAGGATTCCCTCGATACTTTTCCCCAGTGGAGGATTGGGCTTTTTCCTTGTGCTGTGTGTTGGTATTCTTAGCATGGTTCCTGTGTGCAGACTTCTGCATCATGAAATATAAATGACACCATTTAATGCTGGTGGGCTCCTCCAAAGCCAGGTTCAGCATAAAACCTGAGGACTAAATGCTGTTAGATATTACCTACCCAGCCCAAACTCGGTATGGAAGATGGGTCACTCACCATAGTTAGGTCTCTTTTGTGCCTAGGGAGATTTGTTTTGTCTGGGTTATCAAGGCAAGTGCTTGATCAGTTTGTAAGTCTCTGGGAAAAATAATCTGCAGAGAAGTAGTATGTTCTGCTCTTCATAGAGCTTGATTGTTTGCTAATCGTAAGAATTCTGCTTTTGTACAATTGAAATCTCTTACAGCTAGTGCTGAGTTCTCTAGAACATATGTAGATATAATGCTTGTATTTAAAATAGGATTTTAGGTTTTTAAATAACAGAAAATGAAAACTCCTCAGTTTGGGAGTGGGTGTGTAGAGGAGAAATTGTGTGTGTTAATAAATAAGATTACATGCAAGCCACAGAACTATGACTAGGTAAAAGTCCTGTCTCTTTTCAAAGTTTCATTAGAAAGCTCGCCTCTAGGTCTTGACTGCTTTAAGTAGGGTAGAAAACCAATGAAGAATATTGCAGCGCTTAAATAACCAAGTTTCTTTGGATAACCTAGGCTGGGAAGCCAGAAGGCAGATTTGCTTAATAATCTGAATTTCATGCGTGCGTATTAATATAGTATAAAATTAGATTGGAGTTGCTGAATAAGTCACACTAAGCTTTGTGTCATAATTTATTTCACTTTATGTTTACAAAACCATGTCTAGCTATTTCTGGTGGGATTTATAAAAGCATAATCTTAGACAGTCTGAACTTAAGGGTAAAATGCGCTGCAGGAATGTGAGAAATAGCCACTGGCTGCAAAGAGCAAAGACAGAATATGGACCCTTAATTTAGAGATCGTGGGTTTGAATCTAGCCTGGACTGGTGTGGACAACGCTGTTCCTGTGTGCTCTTTGTTCAGCACCCTACCCAAAATATCATCGTCTAGACAAATGCCTGTGTTTAGTTCCCATTAAATGTGTCCTGCATCAGCTCTGTAATCACTGTCAGTGTTAGTGGGTTCCTTTCTTGGCACAGAAGCCAAAATACAGTTTCTTGGAGACTGCACTCTCTTCTTGTCTCTGGTGGGATTCCCTCCAAGCGAGAGTTGAGATATGGGCATATGCCAGTAGGAAGAACTATATGCTCCAGCTACACAATCTGTCTCTGCTATCTGGGTACAGAGTGATGTCTTGGGAACTGGAATCTGTAATCTTTAGTGAGTAATGTGGTTGTTAAAACCAAATTCCTGTTCCTCCTCATCATGTGTTTCGTATGGAGTAGAATTGTCAGAAGCAAATCACGTTGCAATTGAAGTTGCACTGTAAACTGTGCTGATCCAAATCTTACGCTTTTCCTTGTGGGGAAAATCTAGACAAAATATTAACTTCTTACTAGGGGAATGCAGAGGCTGACAGTAACTGTAACCTAGGGATTGTAATTTATACAGCTGTGTAAGACTGGATCCCCCATTTCATCCTTTTTCTTCCCATTCCCGTTCTACTTTTGTCTGCCGCCATGGTTCTTAGAAGTAATGTACCTGTTGCCTGTTTGGTGTGTGAGTTGAACCCCAGTACTGACAGCCTGCTTAAAGTTTTACCCCCAGAGGATGCGGAGACCCGACAAGTGGTGGAAAAGCTGGCTAGGTTCGTGGCCGAAGGGGGACCAGAATTAGAGAAGGTCGCTATGGAAGACTACAAGGATAACCCAGCTTTTTCGTAAGTGTGGTGATAACTCTTGTCTTCCAAAGCAGAAATGCTGTCTCTTTGTAGGAGAAAAACCATCAGCCTTGTGTATATAGTTCTCGTGGATGTGTTTGGTGGATCTGAGCTTTGTTAGGAGTAATTGTTTTATAGCTGGGGAAACTGAGGCAGAAAGTGATACTGTGATGGTGCTGAGGAGGCAGGTCAGCTCGAGTTAGGAATACAGCCTGGGAGGTCTGACTGCCCGTACAACATCTAGCGTGTGGGGATATTGGGCTGGGTCTCGGGACTGGTTCTGTCTCCTGCGCCATTGACATGCTGTGTGGCTGTGGACAGAGGATTCCTTCCTGTATCAGAAGAGACTGTTATTTATTTCGCTTCAAGTAACACAAAACATTTGGATGCAAGTCCTTAAATTAAAACTACGTGTATTTATACATGCTGAAGACTTTGTAATCCACATTAAATGCATTCTGAGTAACTTATCTATTTTGTATTTTTTTTGTTTGAGCTGTTCATATCCCAAAGTATCAAGTTTGTGTATAGTTGTTGCTGATGCATACTTTTTTTGTCCTTTTTTCCTCCATCTCCACTCTAGGTTTTTGCATGATAAGAACAGCAGAGAATTCCTTTACTACAGAAAGAAAGTGGCAGAGATAAGAAAAGAGAACCAAAGTTCTCAGGCATCCTCTTCTCAGAAAGGTAATTAAGACTGGGATCTGGGGAATATGAACTGCATAAGTTACATTTGACTTCTTCACTCTCTGTAACTGTTTATTAGGTCTGTCTTAGAAAGAGTTGGAGTGGACAGCTGGCTGTCAATCTCTGCCTGTAAATAAATTTTCAAAGTGGAAGGAGGTGGTGATCAAATGTCACCATGATGGCATCAAACTCTTGTGCCAAGATGGTTGTTTCCCAAGCCCACAGCATGCTATACTATGCTTTACATAAAGGGCTCTTAAAAGAGATTTTCCTTGTGTTTCTCCAAAATCCTTAACAAAGTGAACTAAAATGATTCTCCATTGTGTGTGTTCTGCAAAGTGTTTCAGCCCTGAAAATGCATTTAGGAAAAGTGCTTTTCCTCAGATTTTCTTATTTGGTTTGTTATCAATGAATATGGTTGGTTTGTTCGAGCATAATCCCCATTTCTGCTGTTATTTCCCTAACTGAAGCTTTTATTTTCTGCTTGGGACACAAATCCTTGCAAATAAGGGACTGTGTTTTCAGGTGGGAAAACAGCAGAAGTGGGTGAGCTGCCAACAGACAGGTGCTGTGAGCAGTGGAGTCTGGTTAACTGTGTTGAGACAGAAATTATTTAGTGGGTGAAGTGTGGTCTGTGGGCCAGGCATTTATCGCTTCTAGTCCAGCCTCTGTTTCAGGCTTGCCTGGCGAGTCGCTCAGCCTCTGCGTGTCAGCTTCCTTTTCTGTAGAAAGGAGTGTTAATGCAATTTAGCTGTCATGCTGATGAGTTAACAGCTCAAACAACTCGTAGTTTAATAAGACTGTAGGCTGAAAGAGCTTTTTACCAATATCAATTAACTGATACACCAGTTTGGAAGCTAAGCAATATTATCCATACTTTACAGGTGTGGAATATTGAAGCAAGGAAAGGTTATGACTTGTCCATGGCTTATAATCATGTCTTCTGCCTCCTGGTCCTGTGCCAGCACACTGGAGTACTGGCACTGGTACTGTGCAGGTAGCAAATGTCATATAAGGCTGTCGTGGCTAAATAACGTATTTGCTTGGCTCCTTATAAGCATCAAATGTGCTTAAAATATTATGATCAGAGCCTTCTCTGTGCCTTTGAACTAAGGCTGCAGTAGCCACCTCTTGCAGGTGAGGACTGGGACTGTTCCATGGAGAATTTCCTCTGTCCTACAGCCCTCCCCTAAAACAACCAGCAGATGTGTAGTGACAGTAGGTATAAGTGGGATTACTTGCGGTATTAGTTGGCCACTTTTTCTAAGGCCTTCCCGTTGCTCCTGGGGACATCAGTGGCAAAGTCTTTAACTAGAGATAATTGCGAGGGCTGAGGTGTAACCCCCGTGGAAAAGGGCCTGACACGAGGAAGAAACAGATTTCCTCTGCAGTAGAGAGAAACAAGTGTCTGTCTTTGAAGACAAAAGCTGGTTTGTCTGTTAATCTGCTCTCATCTGGCTCCTGGCACAGAGGAAGTTGGTGTATGAATGGGCACTCCTCTGGTTACAAAGCTGTTGTACAACCTTATGCAATATCATGTTTTTGTGCTATAAACTCTATGACTGTTTATGTATAATATTTCTGAAAATTAAACTCGACCTTTTGCCCTTATTCTGCTCTTGGGGTTCTTAGAACAGATAGGCTTTGACTGTTGCTTGTGTGAGTTGGGCCCAGTACTGACAGCCTGCTTAAAGTTTCACCCCCAGACGACGAAGAGACAAAGAACTCTGCTGAGAAACTGGCCAGGTTCATAGCAGACGGGGGTCCCGAGGTGGAAGCTATTGCCTTGCAGAACAACCGAGAGAACCATGCTTTCAGGTAAAGAAAGAAACCTGCTGCTGAGTGTAATGTAACAGGGCTTGGATGGGCTTGGTTTTGGTTTTTAAAATAAAAAATAGCAGATGATCTTGTAGTAAGTTTGAGGTTACAAGGGCAGTGCACTTACAGCTCTGATACCTTTACATTCTCAAACTCCGCACTTTAAAGCAAGGCACAGAGAGGAATTGATTTGCTTCCCCCCAAATTAATTTATGACTTCCATCCCTCCTCACCTGCTTTCCGTTGCAACATGCTAATATAATTCTAACCTTTATACTTTTCCCTATAGCTGTGCTTTGGTGTGGGCCCCCATCCACCACTCATATGGCTGCTGTCCAATTAATTTCCTGGGTTGCTCTTTACACAGCATCTTCACTAACGTACAGGTAGCACTCCTCCACCATTAGGTGCCCCTTTGGAATACCTTTTTTAGCCTTACAGATGTGAGTTGTTCTCTTCAGTGCTCACTGACAGCTGTTTAATGCCTCCCTTTGGTCTCATCCATGTTTCATTTTTCTGCTCTTACAAACAATTTGATGTGTTCCCTGGAAGTGAAGTGGGGCTCGGCAAGGCTTATTTTGTTGCTGATATTTTCGCATTTTATTGGCTGCCTTCTCACCCTCTGGGGTACTCCCCTTGTGTTGTGAATTACATTAGACAGATGCGCTAATATCTGAGCTGTTTCATTATTTACTTTAAAACACCACTGTGATCCCACCTGAGCACAGTCAAGTTAAACAGTATCTCCTCTGTTAGGATTTCATCAGGTTTGCCATAGGGAGGGCCCCGTCCTGCCCTCTGCTAGGTCCTGAAGCAATCCTTAATGCTGTTACTCAAGAAGGGGGGATGCCAGACCTAGATTTGACGTTTAGCAAATTTTAAAATACGTTTAGAGAGCTCTTTGCACAACATGCACAGGCAAATACAGCAATAGATGGGAAAGACCTGTCATCTCTTAGGTTTTCTGGTGGGAGCAGGCACTATTCTGAGGAGAGGTTACATTAAGTGTTGAACTGGCCCTCTGAAAAGGGAAGGTTGTAGAGAAGTTAGCAATAGACAAGTTTTCTGTGTGAAGTATTTAAACTGGGGTGAGCCCAAAAAGATACCGTGTTTGTAACAAACATGACTGTATTGATGTATTTTTTTTTGCATAGCTGCTAGATTGAGGATTGTTCATGATCTTGCCACAGAGACTGAGGAGTTTTATTTTACCCAGAAGGTCAGAGATGCCTATTTCTGGAAGGGGTAGCAAATAAAGCAATGTTTTTTGTGTATGAGGGAACAGAAGGAGGAGTCATGGTGTAATTAAGCAGACTGGTAATGTCAACGCTTCTAGCTTGAATAGAGAGCTTGGGAGCAGTTTCTCTAGGCAGTGGTTTGGCCTTCCCATCGGTAAGACCTGAATGTTTGTTTTCTTCTGTGAGCTGAAACCCGACATGTTGTGGAGCCCTTGCAGTTTTTCCAAGCGTGTTCTGGAAGGCAGGTGAATTCAGGGGGAGGACCTTGCATTTCCACAAACGTAACGTGATCCTTTTTAATACTGTGTGTTTATTTGGCACCAAAAATAGCTGGGTTTTCCTCGTGAATGGGAATATGCTTCCTGATCCCAAAGGCTTGCAGCCTACCTTGCGAAAGCACGCGGAGCCATGCATTGCATGCATGTGCACACAGGATGGTGCTGGAGAGCAAGGAAGTGTGTGGGAAGGCTAGTTGTGCAAGAGCATCGCTGGAAGGAAAGGCCCTGACCAAACTGTGCTATATCCAACCCCTGCATATGACTGTTACGTCTAAACATTCTTCTTTTTATTTTTATTTTGTCTTTATAGGTTTTTATATGAGCCAAACAGCAAAGGCTACAAGTATTACCGGCAGAAACTGGAGGAGTTCCGTAAGGCCAAAACCAGCACTGTGTGTGCCCCCTTGCCTGTAGAGTCCAGTCTGAAAAGGAAGACCAGTCCCGAGGCATCACCATCACCTTTGTGCTTATCGTCTTTGCCCTCACCCTCACCTTTGCCCTTGCCCCTACCATTGCCTGTTCCCTCGCCTTTGCCCTTGCCCTTGCCCGTTCCCTCGCCTTTGCCCTTGCCCTTGCCCGTTCCCTCGCCTTTGCCCTTGCCCGTTCCCTCATCCTTGCCCTCACCCTCACCTTCACCATCATCCTCTACAACTCCACCTGATCAGACAGCTACAACTACTGCTGCAACAACAACTACAGCTACTGCTCCAGGCACCACTAAAAAGAAGCGGAAGAGCAGGTGGGGGCCAGAGGAAGACAAGGTTGAATTGCCCCTCCCACAGCTTGTCCAACAGTTGGATTCTCCCTCCCCTCTTTCAGGTTAGTGGGTCTGTATATTATGTTGAATAACTGTTTTTCCTGGGGAGTGCATTCTGCCTTAGCGCAGCTGGCTTCGTAAACAGAAAACCCAGCGAGTCTTATCTCTTGTAATCTCCGTGGTTGCCAGACCCCTATCTTACAGCTAGGTCTGGCAGCTAACTCTCCCCTGTGTGGAAACCCAGATAAACCACTTTATCTCGCTGACACCAGGGATTGGATCTTATCGTTCTCCAGCTATCTCTAAAACCCTGCTGTGCTATAGCTCATTACAGCCTTGGTCTCTCTGCTGTTTAGGGCTATTTCACTTCAGGAAGAGAGTCTGTCAGCAAACAAATATCAAAGACTGAACTGTGCTTATTCCCCATGGTAGGATAAAATCCCTGGGCAGCTCTTCCATCTCACTCTAACTGATGGGAAGGCTAAATGGGAATAGCTGTTCCCCAAGTGCTGGTGGATGCAAGTGTAACTCCCGGTTCCAATTTATACCCGTTTCAGTTCATTTGATTACAGACAGGGTTCACAGTCCTCATCCCGCTGCTCCTGTTACTTCACCTGCCAAGTTCACCCAAGGGGTGCAGCTTTCTGCAAGTGTTGGAAGATAGTTCTTCCAGTTGAGGCACTTCTAGGGAGCTCTTGGAGGTTGAACTCTGGTGGCCCATCTGTGCATGTGCAAATAGGTAATTAGGCAGGCAGGCAGAGATGCATACAAAAATTGAGTTACTCAAGGACAGCAGGTGAATGCAGGCATTTAAGATGGCGTCTTTGCATCCTTCACCCAATTAGTGTGGTATGGGGAAAGGATGTGAAAAGGAGAAGGAAAAGACATAAGATAAGGCAGTCGGTGTTAGCAAACTGAGAGAATTAATAGTATGAGGCTAGAGTCACAGGAAAAGTAATAAGTACCTGTCTCAAAAAGGACCTTTTTCAAAAAGCAGTAGCAGAACAGATGAAGTGGGACAAGTAATAGAAAACAAGGTATAATTTTCTGAGCTGCAGGGTGAGACCACAGATAACTCTCAATGCATGGTCATCCTGTACAATTCATTGCTCCAGTAGGTCTGTAGGTTTTCTGCTTTGGCTGGGTTTTGGAGGAGATAATTGCTCGACCCCTTAATAGCTTTGATTGTTAGGCTTGGGTAAGAGGTAGCTGGCTGTATATGCTGTGGTGTCTGTTGGTTCTGCAGAGCTCAGGAAGGAAGGACTCTTATTTCCTAATCCAGCACTTCAAATGTAGATGAAGGGAAGTGCTTCATGTAATTCTGCCTTCTGATCACAGCCCTATACAAAAGTCTTGGCTATACATCTCATGTGTGCAGGACAAAATACCAACCTGGATGGCTTATTCATTTGACCTTGAATTGCTGCTCATAGTAAGGCAGAAACCAGATGCAAAAGTCTTTCCTGATTTTGTACCTCTGGAATAATCTTTTTTTCTTGCAGACAGTAATGAAGCTTCGATGATGAAGCTGGGCAGGCGCTATCAAAACAAGCATCAGATTCCGTCTTAATACCCCCTGCTGTAGTGGGGGGCTGCAAGGGTATCCATGTGTTCATTCCAGCA